TGGCAGAGGTGCTGTGAGACTGCGGTGAGGATGGTGTGGGGGCACCGGGGCAGGGCCTGGGCCTCGAGGACGCGCGTCTGGCGTGTCCCCCGATGCCGTCTGGTTCTCTGCCGGGACCTGGGACATGGGTGTGTCTCACCCTCCTGCATGTCCCGCAGGTCTCGCTGCGCGGACTGGGGTCCGTGGAGGCGATAGAGGAGCGCTCGCTCACCGGGACGTGGGACGTGAGCGCGCTGCAGCGCTGGAGCTGGAGGACAGACGCCGGCTACCACAGAGGTGAGGGCGCCGCAGCAGCCCCTGCCCGGGTTCCCAGCCTGGCTCGGGAGCTGGGCAGACCTGCTCTGGGTCCAGCCTCTGCCCCTCACAGCCCACGTGACCACACGGGGCCGCTGTCATTCTCTGAATCTCCCGCCCCGCCAAGTCCCTGCAAGTCCACCAGGGCCGGGGCAGATCGGCTTTGGGTCTGTCTCCGCCTGCCAGGGCTCCACCCAGGCGCACGTGTGTGTCTCCACATGAGATCCCCGAGCGCGTGCAGGAGCCCCGAGCGCTTATTCCTGACTTGGCCCTGCAGCTGCCAGCCGCTCCGAGCATCACTCTGCACACACCGCTGAGAGCCCTTGTGCACAGGTGGCTTTGCACCTCCCTGGCCTTGCCTGGTCACGGTCTCTGCCCGGGAGGCCCGGCCCCCTTCCTTCTGGCCAGCTCCTGCCCAGGCTTTCCTGGAGGCCTCCTGAGTCCCTGGCTGGGACAAGTGCCTCTCTGGGCCCCAGTGTTTCCTCAGCCCTTCACCCCTCCCCCTTGTCCACTGCCCAGTATGGTGTGGGGTGCATGGTGGACGCGTGGCGGGTGGGAGGGAGGGAGGGGAGCGGGTGCCAGAAGGGTGAACGAATGGGCTTGCCTCCCGGGGAAAGTCCCACCCTAGGAAGGAAGGAAGGAAGGAAGGGGGGAGGAAGTTGGACGGGTGACAGATGGGGGTGGGTGAACTGCTTCCCTCCCCTGGGTGATGTCCCTCCCAGGGCAGGATTCACCAGCTGGCCTCGGAAAGCTCTTAGGCATCGAGCGCAACACTCAGCCAGGGGGAAATGCGGCCAGTGTTACACTTTGCCGTGGCAGGGTCCCCTGTGAGGGCAAAGACACAAGAGGCCCACTTGCAGCAGGAGTCCTGGCAGGGGGCCAGCCAAGGGCCGCCATCACAGTGGGAGCCACAGCAGACTGTACACAGGCACAGTGTGGCGAGGGGCGGGCTGGAGGAAATATCCCAGGGGAGCAGGCGTCTCCCAGGAGCGGCGCTGGACACTTGACTCCTGTTCCCCCAGGCGACTCCCCTCCTCCCTCGAGGCTGCCAGGAGGCCCCACCATCACCATCTACCCCAAGGAAATCCGGACCTTCTTCATTCACTTCCGGCAGCCTTGAGCCCTGGGCGGACACCGCTGGCCCCGGGCTGCCCCAAGGGCTCCGTGCACCAGAGCAGACCCAGGACACACAGAGCAGGGTGGACAGCCAGGGAGGACAGCCAGCTGCGGCTCTGGCAGGCTGGGGGTAGGAAACGGTCACATCTGGGGATTGCGCTCTCCCCTCACAAAACTGATTTTTTTTTTTTTTTTTTGAGTCGGAGTCTCACTCCGTCGCCCAGACTGGAGTGCAGAGGCTGCTCCCGGCCACCGCAGCCTCAAGCTGCTGGGCTCTGGCGATCCTTCTGCCTCAGCCTTCCAAGTAACCGGAATTACAGGCATGCACTACCACGCCTGGCTAATTTTTGATTTATTGTAGAGATGAGGTCTAGCCAAGTTGCCCAGGCGGGTCTCGAACCTGCGGGCTCAGGCCATCCACTCACCTCAGCCTCCCAAAGTGCTGGGACTACAGGCTGAGCCACCGAGCCGGGCTATAACTGATATTTTTATATGCGTGTGCTTTTTCATTCATTCATAAAAGTCACACCCCGGAAGCTTTTTTTTTAAATCACTCACAGATAATTTTATTAAGTAAAAGGGAAAAGGAAAAGGATACTTTTTTTTTTTTTTTGAGTTGGAGTCTCATGCTGTCACTCAGGTTGGAGTGCAGTGGCACACTCACGACCACCGCAACCTCGACCTGCTGGGCTCAGGCGATCCTTCCACCTCAGCCTTCCAAGTAGCTGGAACTACAAGCACACACTACCATGCCCAGCTAATTCTTTGATTTATTGTAGAGATGAGGTCTTGCCGTGTTGCCCAGGCTGGTCTTGAACCAACAGGCTCAGGCAATCCTCTCGCCTCCGCCTCCCAAAGTGCTGGGATTACAGGCATGAGCCACCACACCTGGCTGGATACCCTTTCAATGGAGAGATCTAACAACTCCACCTCAACCAAATGATCAAACCTCATATCACCAGGGACACTACAAACTGGCAATATGTGTCACCTACAATGCAAGGGAAGAGGGAAAACATCACCTATGGGCAATTCTTACTCTAAATGTTTAACCTGGGTCTAATAATGAGAAAACAATTGGCAAATCCAATTCACAGTCTATAAGACAACGAACTTGGAGTCTTCAAAAAGTTCAGTATCATAAAAAGCGAAAAAGGCAAGGAGACGGTGATGGTTAATTTTAGGTGTCGACTATGTTAAGAAACCTGGTAAACCTGGAGAGAAAAAAAACTTAGAAGCCTGATAGAGCATTATTTTGGGGTGTCTGTGTTTCCAGAGACTGGCATGTGAGTCTGAGTGGACTAGGTGGGGAAGGCTGTCCATCAGTGTGGCTGGGCCATCATCCAATCTGCAGTGTGGGTGCGGAGAACAAAAACAGAAAAGGTGAATCCAGCTACCTACTGGAGTTGGAATACACGCTTGCTTTCCTGTCCTTAGACAACAACTCCAGGCTCCCCTGGGTCTGGGACCTAACACCGGCCGCCCCCAGGTTCTCAGGTCTTCAGCCTCAGACTGAGAGTTACACCATCAACTCCCCTGGTCCTGAGGCCTTTGGGCTTGGACTGAGCCACGCTGTCAGCATCTCGGGGTCTTTGGCTCACAGATGACCTGTCATGGGACTTCTCAGCTTCCATGACCGCATGAGCCAATCCTCCTGATAAATCCCCTCTCATCTATCTGTCTTTCTATGTTTCTATCTTATTGGTTCTATCTCTCTGGAGAACCCTCACTAATACAAGGACTGTACTGTGGTAGATTCATGGAAACAAAAGGACACGACTATCTTGGTTAAGTAATCCTGGAAAAGATCCTGGGTCACACATATTTTTAAAAAGTTACAAAGGACACTGGAACAACTGGGGAATGCTGGGAAATGTATTGTTTCAAAGTAATGGTGTTGTGAGCCGGGCTTGGTGGCTCAGCCTGTAATCCCAGCACTTTAGGAGGCTGAGGTGAGTGGATTGCCTGAGCCCACAAGTTCGAGACCCGCCTGAACAATTTGGCGAGACCTCATCTCTACAATAAATCAAAAATTACCGGGCATGGTAGCACGTGCCTGTAGTTCC